GGTGGCCAGAGCGGAGGCTCGGTGGCATCGCTCTGTCGGCCGCCCCGGCCCCCACCACCGAGCCAGGGGGCTGGTCCTGGCTTTGGGAGCTTTCGGGCTCCGGGATGTGTGTGAGGAGGAAGCCACCAGAGCGGGTGGGGACAGGGGAGTCGGGGGACCCCCACCTTACCCCCTCCTGCCCCCAGCACGATGGCCAGCCCTACTGCCACAAGCCCTGCTACGGAATCCTCTTCGGACCCAAGGGTGAGTGTGGCCCGGCGGGTGGGGAACCCGGGGCTCCCTCCCCACCCCTCCGCACCCCCAGCACCCCCCTTTTGGCCGTTCTCCACAGGAGTGAATACTGGAGCTGTGGGCAGCTACATCTACGACAGGGACCCCGAGGGCAAAGTTCAGCCCTAGGCCCCTGCCTGCCCAGGGCCCACTGCCGGGCCCGGGGGACAGTGCCCAGCTGCCCAGTCCTGCCTCAGTTGGTCCGGGCCCAAGTCCGGGGCCTGCGTGTTGGGGGAGGAGGACGCCGATGGGCTTCTCCAGAAGAGGCGCCTGCCTGTGCCCGCACCGCGACCCCCTCTTGTGTCCTTGGGCCTCCCTGCCTGTGTGACCCCGCGTGTCTTCACGTCTGCCTCCTGTCCCCGCGTGTCCCCGCGGACCTGGGCGAGCCTCACTCCCCCTCCTCTGCCCACGCCTCCCACTGTTATTTATCGCCCTCTGCCGGGCGGCCACACCACGCTCCGCGTGTCCCCGGACGGGGCCTCTGCTGTCTCCCACGCGCCTTCCAAGCACTGCCCACCACCCTCCCGTGGCTCACACGCAACGCAGACTTTTGCTCAATAAAATGTTTGAGGATCGCTGGACCCCGCGCCTTGCTTCTGGCTGTGGGAGGGGCCTGAGCCCAGCACAGGGCCCCGTCTCCGTCCCACCCACAAGGGCTCCCGGCGAGCCTGGCCCCGCCTCTGGGGCAGCAGGTCCTGTTCCAAGGTTGGTGGCGGGAGGGAGGCTGTTTTGAGCTGTGGTGCCCACACAGGGTGGTGGGGCGAGGGGGGGAGGCCTCCTGGGAGTGGGGTCCAGGAGTGGGGAGGGGCCTTGCATGCTGAGGTCACCTCCCTGGAGCCTAGGGCTGAGCCTGGACCCCCGGAAACGCCAGCGCTGGGCGTCCGTCAGGAGATGCCTGGGGCCATCAGAGACCCCCAGGTGCCGAGGGTCAGCCTGGGCACAGTGGCGGGGGCATGCCAGTGGGTCTGGGGGGGCAGGTGAGCAGAGGGGCGGATGGCGTGAGGGGGCCTTCAGCCCGGACTGAGCCTGGAACCCCGAGTCTGCCCGCTCTGCCGTGGCTTTCATCCGCAGGGCTAGCAGCCTGGTTGCCATGGCGGCCAGCCTGCCTCAGCGCTGGTGGTGGCCAAGGGCGAGCCCAGCCGGCGTCCCCGAGTCTGTGGCTGCGGTGGTGGCGGAGTTTTGAGACCTCCCCAGGCGGGGGCTGCAATGCTCTCCCCATTTCAGCCTGACCCCCTGGGAGCTCCGAGGAGCCCCCTCCTGGCGGCACATTTCCCTGTAGCGGCAGCTCCCGGGCACCCCGCCAGAGGGAGGGCCCTCCCTGCCCCT